TCCATGAGTACCTGCCCATTGGCAAGTACCTGTATCCGTGGATATGGATACCCGTTCCCACGGATGCCACCCCGGATACAGGTGTGGCCTCTGAGGGAACAGGTACTTGTTCCCACGGATACAGGTACTCGCACGGATATAATCGTGACATGCCCTGATCTGTTTCCACGCGAGTCTCCGAGTCTGGTGACCACATTGCCAAGACTGGCTCGCTGGTAAACACTGCCTTAAGCTTGTCGAAGGCATCCTGTTCCTCTACATCCCATTGCCAAGGCGTATCCTTCTTAGTAAGATTATGCAAAGGACGCGCAATTCTAGCGAAGTCCTTGATGAATCTCCTATAGAAGTTGGCAAAGCCGACGAAACTCCTAACATCTTTCAAGTTTCGTGGTGTAGGCCATTCTGTTACTGCCTTAACTTTGGCTGGGTCCATAGCGACTTTTCCTTCTTTTATGACAAGGCCTAAGTACTCGACTGAATCTTTCTCGAATTTGCACTTCTCCGGACGTAAGTAAAGGTCGTGTTTTTCTAGACGACTGAGTACTTCTCGTACGATTTCCCTGTGTTCTTCTAGAGTTTCTGTGAACACAAGTATATCGTCGAGGTAAACAGCAACCTTTCCTTGTGCTACTAAGTCCGCAAAGATAGTGTTCATAAGTGCTTGGAACGTGGCAGGGGCATTCGTGAGTCCGAAGAACATTACATTAGGTTCGAATAGTCCACGGCTTGTAGTGAATGCCGCTTTCCACTCATCCCCTTCTGCAATACGAATATTGTAGTAGCCCCACCGTACATCCATCTTCGAGAAAACCTTGGCTCCACGCAAACGGTTTATGATGTCTTGTGCAAGAGGGAGCGGATAGCGATTATTTACAGTGTACTCATTGAGCTTTCTGTAGTCCTGAATTAATCGCAGTTTTCCGTCCTTTTTCTTGATGAAGAATACAGGTGATGACATAGGGGATTTCGATGGTTGAATATATCCCTTGTCCATCTGTTCCTTCAGGAATTTATCTAGTTCCTGTTCTTCATTGTATGACATAGGGTACACCTTTGACCGTAGCGTATCTGGAGCGTCTGGTTTCAGATCGATCTTGTGATCCCAAGGCTGGTGCTCTGGCAATCGCTGACTTTCTTCCTCCGAGAAGACCTTTTTGAAACCTCTATAGGGTTCTGGTACTATCTCTTTGAACGTCTTGGGTGCTTCGCTCTTTGCTTTAGCTGCCTCCTCAGCAATACGCTGGCTGTGAGTATAGCTGGCGGCACACCAGACTTCGTCCGTGACTGTGTCAGTGATTCCATCCTTCACCCAGCGCTTGCGGATCGTCCTAGATGCATTGATCTTGTAGACCGTCTCCTCCTCATCCTCTCCACCATCGTCATCAACTCCTATCTCATAATCCGTCACTTCTTCCTTCACTCCTACCCAACCTGTCTCCCAGTCAATCTCAGGGTTTACTCTTCGAAGCCATGGAAGCCCAAGGATCATATCTTCTCCAGATAGGTCCGTAATCAAGAACTCTACCCACTCCTTGTAATCACCAGCGGTTAGCTGTACCCGTACGTAGTGGGTCATTGCTCCGGCCTGGTTAGGTGTTCCATCGATGTTGCGTACATAAATTGGACATGGTAGTTCATGCAGCAACATCCTATTGCGCTCCGCGTATCTCCTGTTCATGAAGAGACACGTTGCCACTGAATCGACCATAGCTGTGGCTCGTATCGACTTATTCAGACCCCCTAGAATAACAGGAATATATAAATGTCCAGAATGAAAAGAACCAACAACGTAGGAAGAAGAAATGTATTCTGCCAAATAGCCTCCATCAGGAACTTGTTGTTTTGGTGTTGGATTCGGGCTACTTGGTTTTTTAATGTTTTTGTTATTTTTATAGGAAGGTTTTTGTCTAGTATTTTTATCAAAAGGGGAAGATGATGTAAAAGTGGGAGTTGAATCCCGAATAGTGTACATAAAAGGAGGGGTTACGCCCTCATTGTTCAAAGCACAATCCGAGTCAAGAACATCAAAGGAATTGGAACTAACTAAGGCAGGGGCATTACCCGAACTGCCTGTGAGACATTGTCCTTGAGAATTAAAAGAAATAGAAACAGATCAAAATAGAAAGGGGGTCTTCAGTCCGTCTTTACGCTCCGACCTGTTTACAGCTATGTAC